TGCTCTCCAGTCTCTCAAAATGTAAAGACAGTCCAGAGACTGGGCGAAGACCTTGCACTGCACTCCACAGACAGAGTCCATAATCCAGATGCAGTATTAAAAAAAAAAAAAAAAATCCCACGGAACAGTAACAAGACAAACAGAACAAGAGAAACTTGACAATTATTGTGAGCGAGAAATCCAGTAAGAGGAAGCTTAAGTAAAAAAATAAGATCTCTCAGTCTCAGTAATCAGGAAAATACAAATTAAAAATGTAGCTGGTGGGATGGCTCAGTGGGTAAAGGTGCTTGCCACCAAGCCTGAAGACATAAAGTCAATTCTCAGAGCACAGAGTGGAAGGAGAGAACTGATGCCCTCAAGCTGTCCTCTACCTCCATAGCACCATAGCACATGCAGGAATAAAATGATAATGAATCAATAAAAACAAATGCAATAAGATATTTTAAACCACAACAGGACCCTGGCATGATGGTATACACCTGTAATCCCAGCACTCAGAAAGTTGAGGCAAGAGGATTATGAGTTCAAGGCCTGCCTGGAGCCCTGTCTAAAAAACCCAACTAAACGAGCACACAAAAACCTCACAACTGGGTGTAGCTGAAGGACTTGACTACATGTGTCATGTATAAGGCCCTGGAGGCCATGCCCAGCACCCCCCAAAACAAACAAATAAAACTGATGCCAGTTCCTATGCATCCAACTAGCAAAGATTAAAAAGTCTAGCACCATTAACTGCTGCCAATGATACAGAGCAGTAAAAATTGACATTCATTGCTATAGGACTATAAGTCAGAACCAGCATTTGGAAAGCCATCTGGTGAGATGCAGTCAGTCTGTGCACAAGTTTAGCCCAGTGAGGCCTTGTCTCCCGCAAGGCTAACAAGTCAGGCAAAGGATATTCACTAGAGCAAAAATTTGGAAACAACTTCTAAAACCAATTTGTAGTACCACAGTTAAGATGAATACTGAAACAAATACTGAGTAAACATATATGCAGAATAGTAATAAGATTACATTTTACAAAAATTAGCATACCAAATTACATAGTGAATTTGAAGCCAGTCTGGGCTACATGAGACTGTGGAAGAGAAGAAAGAATGATAGATGGCTATCTCTCATAAAGAGATTGGTGAATTGAATATAGCAGTCTATATATTTTTTAAAAATTATTATGTGGCTGCTGGGTTCATTCCCAGCACCCACATGGCAGCTAACAACTAACTCCAGTTCCAGGGGCATCTGATACACTCGTCTGACCTCCGTGGGCATTGCATGACACAGGTGCTCTTATACATGCAGGCAATACATTTATACACATAAAATAAAGTACTTTTAAATATTTTATTTTTTATTTTATATGTGTGAGTGCTTTGCCTGCATATATGTAAATGCACCATGTGCATGCAATGCCTATCAAGAGAAGACAGTGTTGGATCCCCTGGAACTGGAGTTACGGACGGTTGTTAGCTGTGATGTGGGTGCTGGCAATTGAATCTGGGTCCTCTAGAAGAACAGAAAGTGTTCTTAACTGCTGAGCCATCTCTCCAGCCCCTTATGTTTTATTTATTTATTTTTTTAATATTTAATTGGGACTGGAGAGATGGCTCAGCAGTTAAGAACACTGACTGCTCTTGCAGAGGACCTAGGTTCAATTCCCAGCACCCACATGGTGGCTACAAACTGTCCTTAACTCCAGTTCCAGGGGAATCCGAAGGCCTCTTCTGACCTCCAGGGCATTGCACAACACGGGTGCATTCACATACATGCAGGCAATACACTCATACACATAAAATAAAAATAAAAAATAAAACATTTTAAAAAAAACCCATAAAAAATTAGTATGATGGTACGATGGTTAATCTTAATAGTTAACCTGATGAGATTTAGAATCACCATGGAAACAAATCTCTGGAAGTCTGTGAAGCATCATCCAAAGTAAGTTAACTGAGGTGGAAACACACATTTAAGTGTCCTTAAATGTCCCCCCACAGAAAGTGAGCCGAGTACCAGCATCTCTCTCTGCTTCCTGACTGTGGACAATGTGACCAGCTGCTTCACGCTCCTGTTGCTGCACCTCCTGACTCATGATAGACTGCACCCTCAAACTGTGAGTCAGAATGAAGTCCTTAAGTTCTTTTTCCTTAAGTTGTTTTTGTCAGGTATTTTGTCACAGCAACTAGAAATGTAAGTAATACAGTTATGAAAAATTCAATTTGTCCCAGAAATGCAAAGTTGCTTTAATATTTTAAAAATTAATTACCATAATAGATTGAAAGGAGAAAACCACAGACCATACAGCAGATACAGAAAAGTATTTGAGAAAAACCAATATTCATTCATGATCAAAATTCTCAGCAAGGTAGGAATAAAGCAAACTTTCTTGGTGGTTGAATATGAAGACAAAGATGGGCAGAGCAGGGAAGCCTGTGGATAGAGGGAGGAAAAAGCCAAGGAGCAGAGAAGAAATCCCAGAGAACGAGCTATGGTGCAGAGAACACTGTTTCCTGGAGGAAATGTCCCCACACTCCAAGCTGCTGAGGCTGGAGAGGACAAGGACAAAGACCACTGGGAAGTTGGCGGTAGCTGCTCAGGCCATGTCAGCTATGTCTTTCCTCCTACTTTTTTATTTTATTTTATTTTTTTCAGTTCTTTGAGGCAGGGTCTCCTTGTAGCCTAGCTGGCCTGGAACTCACTATGTAGACCAGGCTGGCCTCAGTTTCACAGAGATCCGCCTGTGCCTGTCTCCTGAGTGCTGGGATTAAAGGTGTGAGACACCAGGCCCTGCAACAAAAAAATTTTAAGGTAACAATTTAGCAAGTTATAGCAAAAGGAAAATTTGACTTTTCTTAGGTCAACTGCCTTGTTTTTACCTAATACTCCAATGTTTCTATTTGAGACAGAAGGAAGCCAAAGATTCAGAATAAGGCTGATGGAACAAGGGCAATTTATGGACTAAATTAATCAACATGTATCTGATCTTGTCTGGCTGTCCCAAGGCAGATACTCTTCTTTAGAGTGAGGACCATGGAACTCACGTCAAGTCCAGTCCCACAGGACCTCAGGGACCAGTCCTGACACAGGGCAGGGTTTGAAACCAAGAAGAATGCCCCACGAGCCTTCCTGCCTACTCCTTTTGTTTGTTTTCTGAAAAAAAGGTCTTGCTACATAGCCATGGCTGACATGAACTCATCACATAGGCCAGGATGGCCCCAAACTCCTTCCTCTTGCCTCAGTCTCCCAAGTGCTGGGCTTATGGATGTGTGCCATGCTACCCATCTGCAACACTGTTGACAAATCAAGTGAGATGTCTATTTCTCTTCTCCATGTTAATGTAAAACAGCCTGCCAAATTTGGTGTTATAGGCTGGAATGCTCTGAATTAAACAGGAGTATAAAAATAAATATTTTCTTAAACAGAGTAACTGAAAGAAAGGGGAAAATGACAGCCCAGCATACATGCAGATCACAGGAACCGACCTTAACCCCAATGACAAGTAACACTTTCAAATCCCAGGCCAGACTCAGCCAGTGCTGGCCAGTTTGCAGACAGAAGGAATTGCAGGCCATAATACAGCAGAGGCTTTGCTAGGGCAACCCTCTAGATGGCTCCCAGCAGAAGACCACAGGGATTCCTTTATTAAATGGTACTGAATCACTTTTCTGAGCAGCTCAGAGCAAATCAGATCAGTACAAATCATAATTATATCTATCATTATTACAGGATGTATTATGTGCCAGACACACGGCACACTGCATGATGTCATCTGACCTCACAGCAACCTGTGAGGAGGAATCTCTCTCTCCTTCCTCTCTCTCTCTCTCCCCCTCTCTCCTGCCCCCTTCTTTCCTGAATATGGAATCCAGAGCCTTGTATAAACAAGGTGAGCCCTCTGCCACTGTGCTACATCCTCAGTCCATCCTTTAGTTAAAATGAGGTAAGTGGGATTCAGAGACACTGAGGAGAATATGAGGCCACTCAGGAAGTGGTAAAACAGGGGTTAAACCAATGTCTACCCCGACCTTGAACTTCAGCTATGGTAGGAGACACCCCTTTGTTTGATGGCCCTGGGATGTCTACAAAGTCACAGTTCCTCATAAGCATCTTCTGTTAACATCCCATCCCATCCAGGAGGAATAGATTCCCACACACACACCTTCATCTGCCTATCTGCTGGCCCGCTTCCCCACATTGTCATCAAAATGCTTTTGCTATGTTTCATCTTAGCAATGTACTTGCATTCACTAATTGTTCAAAATAAGTTGGCTTAATTTTTTTTAAAAAGACAAATGTAGTTGAAGGATCAGGTTAGTTGCAGAATTATACTAAGGGGCTAGGACATTTGTGCTCTGATGTGCTCCCAACCATGGCTGTCTAGCATCCCCAGCACAGACCTAAATGGGCACTGGGCCCCTCTCATCACAGACTAGAACTTTTTTTTGTGTGTCTTTTTGACACAAGGTCTCCCTGTAGCCCCAGCTGACCTGGAACTCACCATGTAGACCAGACTGGCCTCAAACTCACAGAGATCCATCTGCTTCTGCCTCCCGAGTGCTAGGACTAAAGGCATGTGCCACCACGCCCAGTCTAAGACTAGAACATCTAAGACCAGGAGCTATATAAGCCTTCTCTCTTTCAAGCTGGCTGTCTCGGTCGGGTATTTGCTGTAGAGGTGGAAAGCTGACCAGCACATAGCACCTGAGCCATCTTTGTACCACTGGCTTCACTGTTTATGGGGAAGCTCCTCCTGGGAAGACTGCAGTTACATCTGTTCCTGCCTTCCCCTAGCCTCACCCCATGTCCATCTCTAGCACAAACCTTATCACATGGCTGCCCCCAGTTCATCCAGATGCTTCAGAACCTCATCTTCTGCGCACAAAAGGAAACTATACTGCTGTGTTCACCCTCAAAGTCGTTCAATCTCAGCCACAGTTGGCTTCCTTCATTTATCCTGAACACGTTACCACACTCCTCTCCTGAGTAGGGCAGGCACCTGTTCTTACCTGCATGCCTCGCATCTTCTGGAACCGTGCAATGGTGTCGCTGAGGGTGTAGATACGTATGTGGCCCATGTGCAGCTTGCCAGAAGGGTACGGGAACATGGAGAGCACATAAAACTTGGGCTTTGATTTCTAGGAGCAACAAAGGACAGGAAGTATTTATTAGGTATTCTCTGCGCATTGTGCATGCACTATTTTGCCACTTTACTCAAGGTAATTATTTATTTTTTTATATTTTATTATTTTTATTACTTTATGTGTATGAGTGTATCGCCTGCCATGTATGTGAGTGCACCTGTGTCATGCAATGCCACAGAAGTCAGAAGAGGGCTTCAGATTCCCCTGGAACTAGAGTTAAGGATGGTTTGTAGCCTCCATATGAGTGCTGGGAATCGAACCCAGGTCCTCTGCAAAAGCAGTCAGTGCTCTTAACTGCTAAGCCATCTCTCCAGCCCCTCAAGGTAATAATTGAACACTTTAAAATTTTCCTTAAAGAAAAAAAAATTCTCATTATATAAATTGATAAAATGTTAAAACCCAAAAATTCAATGCCCTGGTTTACGCTAAGGAACGTCCACAATAATGTGTAACAATGTCTAAGTGCTGATTAGTCATAGGCATTTTTAACCTTTCTACCTATTTTAAAAAGCTTCCCTTAAAGCAGCTTCTGCCTAGGCCTTCAAAGACTTTTTCCCAATGAACCCCTAACACATATATCCACATCATTCAAGGAGACAGCAGTTGAATTACACAGTTATCTCAAACTGGAGCCCCTTCCTAAGCTTCCCATGGCTGCATCTAACTGAGATTCAGTGCTGAGAATAGGGTCTCTAGGCACCAGATGGCTCCCAAGTCTCCCTGGTATACTGTGAGCTCTTTCAACAGAAAAGACTGAAGTAGGAAAACCACAAGGACATCAACCAAGAAAGGAACAGATGGCTGTTTCTGAGAGGTGACAAACAGGTAGATACAGATTATGGTTATGTGATTCTCCAGCTCTGGCAGGAAATGTACACATCTGACCAGAATGAAGACAGAGCAGGGAGGCCCACAGGGCTGCTCCCTTTTAGCACTTTGCTCTTCTACTGGCAAATGGCAACTGCTGTCAAAAGTTTGTGCACATGAGGGAACAAAGCCCCTAAGGAATGGTTCTAGCCACAGGACTGATTCCTTATGGGGAACCTGATATTCTGTGGGACTTGGGGGGAGCTTTCTGCAGTGCTGGGGATGGAACCCAGGGCCTCATGCATACTAGACCAGTGCTATATCACTGAGATGTAGGCACAGCCCAAGGACTGTGTGTTAATCATCTCTATAGCCACCTCCCAGCCACCTAACAGTTTAATAACTCTAATGAACGCTTGTTGGCCTTTTACCACCAAAGGCAGTCATCCCCCCTGCAGATTGTACAAATCCTGTTCAGATAACTAGAGGCTCCCTGCCACCCAGCCTCAAATTCTCCCATAGAGTGGGGGCTAGGCACTTAGAAGAGTAACAGGTAACTGTAGCCGAGGACCAGGTCATCTGCTGCCACACTGTTGTTAATTCTGCCTTCGGTTCTCCCTTTTCATCTCCTCTCCTTCCTAGAGCTTCAGGAAACTTCACAGCATTGCTTGAACACACACATAAGAGTATTTATGACTCTTCTTGTACATATGTAGGAGGGTCTTAAAGATTTTCTTGGCTAGTATTTACAATCACCTCAGGAAGAGCAAACCTGAGGTGATTAGAATCAGTTGTTAACCTAGCAAGATCTAGAATCAACAAGAAAGACAAGGCCCTGAGTAGTCTGTAAGGGAGTTTCTCAATAAGGTTAACTAAGGTGGGAAGACCCAGCCTAAATATGGGTGGCACCAACCCCAGGGCTGAGATCTTGGACTGAGAAAAAAAGAGGAAGTGAGGTGAGGAGCAGTGTTCATCTCTCTGCTTCCTGACTGGATGCAATGTGACCAGCTTCCTTCTGATCCTGCTACCATGCTGTCCCTCATAGCCCCCCAAACTGCAAACCACAATAAACTCTTCCCTTCCTTAAATTGCTTCTGTTGAGTATCTGATCTCAGCAACAAAAGAGTAACTAATATGTAACTTTAATCAGGGGAGTAGAAAAACCAGACATCAGATTCTAGTCAAGTTCTTTTTTGTTTGGATGGTTTTTGTTTTTTGAGACAGTCTTGCTATGCAGTCCAGGTTGGCCCCAAATTCCCAGCAACCCTCCTACCTCTACCTCCAGAGTGCTGGTATTACAGGTGTATGCCACTATGCCTAGCACTTTGCTAAGTTCTTAAACTTCCTTCAGTAAAGGAATTAAACAAACTGAAAGCCTAGAGTGCAACTTTCCTCTGTCCTGCTCATCGTCTAGAAATGACCGAGATAAGGAAGGCCACCTGGAGGAGGAGAAGGCTTTTAGAGAACAAATACAGAACGTGGAGAACACAAAAACAAGAGTCACCTGCACCCACCGCTGGAATGGCTGCAGTGTTTATACAGTGTGACAGCAGGGAAGGAAGACGTTCCAATTGAAAGCCCTGACATATGCTATTTGTAGTTTCTCTTTTGTTTCTGAGACAAGGTCTTGTTAGGCAGCCCAGGCTGGCCTGGAAATTATGATCCTCCTGCCTCAGCCTCCTGGGTGCTGGAACTCCAGGCTGCACTACACCTGACCTATTTCTAGTTTTTAATTATCAAATTTTTTTTTATTTTTATTTTTTTAATGTGTATGCGTGTATTGCCTGCATGTAGGTAAGTGCACCCGTGTCGTGCAATGCCCGCGGAGGTCAGAAGAGGTTGTTGGATCCCCTGGAACTGGAGTTATAGACAGTTGTTAGCTGCCATGTAGGTGCTGGGATTCGAACCTGGGTCTTCTGCAAGAACAACCAGTGTTCTTAATCACTGAGCCATCTCTCCAGCCCCCTTAACTTTCAAATTTTTAAGTAAAACATTTTTCTTTTATTACAATCATTATACTGTTTGTTGCATTATAGTAACAACCTTACCCTAACACCTTCACCAGCCTTTTTGTTTGTTCAATGAAGGTTAAATTTGTGACAAAATCAAATAATCTATCATAAACCAGCTAAGCCCAACTCCAAGCCTGAGTTCATAAAAGACATGCAGAAGAGCAAATCCACCGAGTCTTTAATATTCATGAACACTTTTGTTTATTGCAGAAAATATATTCAGCCTACTGCCTGTCCCTGCCTTGTGCTTTCTGGGTGAATTAAGTCACTTTCCTCTGTGACAATAAAATGAGTTCTATCATCTGGAGGTGGGAACGGGAGAAGAAATGATGGGAGCTTATGTTATAATTGAGCAGGAATCTGATTGAAAGGGGAATTTTCATAATTACATAAAAGTGTAAGAATTCAAGCCTTTAAGGGAAATTGTGGCTGCCAGCAATGGAGAGATGATGGCTTTTATAAGCAGGTCCTATCATTTCTGTCAGGCTGTGATTCAGAAAATGACTTGTGTCTGTCTGTGGATCACTCTCTGAAGCTGTCGTGTGGTCTACAGGGTGGCAGGGTACAGGGCCCCCAGTTCTGGTCCTAAAGGCCTAAGGCAAATTCCTGTGCCTTCCTGGGCTCAGGAGTCTGCACTGGGTCCCTGCTTGTCACATGCCAGCTGCACATCTCAGCACATTACCAAACCTCACCTGGGCCTCAGGGTTCTAATGCACCAAGTAAGGATGGTGCCTATCTTCAGAACTGTTCTGGAATTACATCAACCAACCAATGGAAATGGTATCTGGCCCACAGTAAAATGTTCATCAAATGAAGTTTTCTGTGTCCTACCTAACCTTTTGTCACCTCCTTTGCCACTCTCAATGCTCCTGGGAATCAGGTAGGCATCATTATTATCACTCTCCATTTTAGATAAGAAAACTAAAGCATAGACAGGCTCAATGATTTGGTTTAAGGCCACGCAGTAGCTTATTTTAAACCAGGCAGTGTGAGCCCAGTGTCTAAACACTTTTTTTTTTTTTTCTGTCTTTTTTTGAGACAGGGTCTCCCTGTAGCCCCAGCTGGCCTGGAATGCAGAACAAGCTGGCCTCAAACTCACAATAATCTGCCTGCCTCTGCCTCCCAAGTGCTGGGAAGGGATTAAAGGTGGGCACCACTATGCCCGGCCCAAACACTCTTCTTTACTATTGTGGTTTGAATGGAAAGTGTCCCCAATGGGATCGTGTGTTTGAATACTTGATCCCCAACTGGTGGCGCTGTTTTAGAAGATTATAGAAGCTTTGGGGAGGTAGAGACTTGCTGGAGGAAGTGGGCCACTGGGGGTGGGCCTTGAGGTTTTATAGCCCAGCTCTACTTTCTGTTTGTCCACTGCTTCCTGACTGTGGATACAATGTGACCAGCCACCACACATTCCTACCAGACTATTTTGCCTTTCCTGCCAGGATGGACTGTATCTCTTCAAAATGTGAACCAAAACAAACTCTTCCTCCCTCAAGCTGCTTCTTGTCAGGTATTTGGCCACAGCAACAAAAAAAGGTAATAAACACATGTATCTGCCTTCTCAGAATACTCACATCTTGTTCTGAAATTTTGGATGCCTGCTCTTTTATTTGTTGATGCCACCATTTCTCCACATCCTTTCTTGTCTGCAGTGTGTACTCCTCTGTCCACTCCCCTGTTGCACTGTAAATACTTCTTGCACATCCTGGAAATACTCTTCTTCTTTCCCACTGGATGACAGGTGGCCCACCATTTAGCTGCCTTTTCAGAAGAGAGGCATAAAAACCCAGTCTCCGCCAAGTTGATGTCATTCTTCAGAAGGAGGGAAGGCCCTTGAAAGAGGGCAGAGAGCACACTATGACCAGCCTAAAGCCCTCTCAGGCTCTTCTTTCTGACTGGCACAGTCCAGCTTTGGCTGCCTGGTCACTTTCCTTCTCTTCCTCCTTTGATGATCATTCCCTGAAAAGAATATTTTAGAAGTTCAGCTGAGTTAGACACAATTTTTTTACTGGAAAACACAAAGGTGTTCCATATCCCCAAACATACAAAGATAGAAAACCAAGGGAGTCCATCACAAAGGCCAGCTGCTATAGACTCTCCAGGCAGCATGAGAGGTCACTGAGTCCCCTGCCTCTACTTCCTTGTGGCTCAGCCCAGGGTCAGCATGTTTTCACTTGCTTTCTGTCTAGGCCCCAGAAGAGTTCTAAGCATATCTTGACTTGGCCTTGGGCTCAAACACCAGAAGGGATCTGAACATAGGTCTCCTAGGAGGATCAGCATTCTAAGCTATTATGAGCATTTTTCAAACCTTATAGGCTAAGCCAGGAAACAAATTATTTAGACTAGGTATTCATCTGTTTCTATATCTGCCAAATACTTATCGAATATTATAAAGTCCACATACTGTTACAAGCACTACAGACACAGCAAAAAAGAGTTCCAGACTGGGATGTAAGTGGCAGAGCGTGTGTTTAGTATGTGCAGGGCCCTAAGTTCCACTCCTCACATGCAAAAACATAAAACAAAGTTTCTTCTTTCACAGCAAGTATATACTCATAGAGAATCAGATAAGACACAAAATACATATATAACATAATGTACAGAAGTGGTGTTATATGACTCTTTGGAATACAACCCTGAGTTGGGGCCCAGCAGGAGATCCATCTGTATTCAAAATTTGACTCTAGGGGCTGGAGAGATGGCTCATCAGATAAGAGGACTGTCTGTTCTTGCAGAGGACCCAGCTTTGATTCTCAGCACTCACATGGCAGCTAACAATTATCTGTTAACTCCAGTTCCTGGGGAAATCTGACACCCTCTTCTGACCTGTGCTGGCATTGCGTGATCCAGGTACACTAACATACATGCAGGCAATACATTCATACACATAAAATTAAAATAATAAATTAAATATTAAAAAATTCAACTCTAATACTTCACTGGTTTCCTGTGCAGGTGAATGGCAGAACTGACCTTACTGAAGATGTTTCCTATTTTATTCCTTTTAAGGGGCTGAGGTGAGATTTCACCAAACATTTAGGATGCAGGATGAAACAGCCTGAATTTTCTACCTTCTTGTATAACTACATCAGAGAGGTGCTACAATGAAATCATAGATGAAAACAGATCTTTCAAAGACAAGAGAGATGTAAGGAAACTTGGCACTCAAAACGTGTTAATCTGATTCTTTCAAAATCCTTTCCATATCTACTAGAGTTTGGCCTGCTTTGCAGAGGCACTGGATCACAAATGTTGCCAGGGGTAGGGGTGGGGGTGACTCCAGGCTCTAACAGAGGAATTCACACTCACATAAAATGGCATTGCAGCATTGGCATGTTACCAATTGATCTGCCCAAGTTCTCAACATACCAGTTCCCACTGCATTAATATCTCTTGCTTTCTTAGGGGCAGAATCAGTGACAGGCTTAGGGGAAAAAAATCTCCCTATCAATTGGATTTAGTTTTTTTTTTTAATTTGTAGATGTGACTACATAAGAATTAGTGTAAACTAGATGAAGCTGGTTAAATATTAGCAATTCTATATGACCACCCTAACATACATATGCTTTGTATAATGAAGGCAATTATATTTATTTTAGGACTTAGACTTCTGTATAGTTAGAACTGTAGGAGTCACAGGTTTTATGGTTCTCTTGCATTCTGACCATTGCAAGCCAAAGACTGTCTATTAGCAGGAGGCACAGAGACAGATGCCTGATATTTCTCTCCTAGGTGGCCCGTAAGGATAGTGTTCTGGACTAGCCTCCTGCATAAAAACAATAAGGAATAAGACAATAAAAATACAAAATGATCTGAAATGCAACAGGTCACAGTTTTGGCTTCTATGCTAGCTAGCCACTGTGACGGATAAAACACAGAGACACAATCACCAACAGGAACAGTCTGAACTCAGAGTAACACTCTGTCAGGTGAATAATTAATTAACCTTGCATTATTACACTGGGCTCTCTAAGAATTTCCTCTTTAGAATTTCCTCTTTGCTTAAACCAATGAACTAGTAAATAGATCTAGGCAAAAACTAGAATATAGCGCTCATAAATAAAAAGGCACAAGCAGATTAGAAAGTGATAGGGGTTTTTGTGTGTTGCTGTTATAGTTTTAAAGCAGGGGACTAAGGAGATGGCCCAGAGGGTAAAGTGCTAGCTAGCTGCATAAGCATAAAGACCTGTGTTTAGATCCTCAGTACTCATGTAAAAAGACAGGCATGGTGGTGCATATATCTGTAACCCCAGCACTAAGGGGAGGAGACTGGTGGATCCTTGGAGCTCACTGGCCAGCCAGTCTAGCCAATCAGTAAGCTCCAGGTTCAGTGAGCAACCCTGTCTTAAAAACTAAAGTAGAAGCCAGGCATGGTGGCACACACCTTTAATCCCACCACTCAGGAGGCAGAGACCAGTCTGGTCTCCATAGCACCTTCAGGTCAGCTGTAGCTATAGGAAGACCCTGTCTCAAAAAGACCAAAAGAAAACAAAAACAACAGCAACAACAAAACTAAGGTAGAGAGAAATAGTGGAAGACACCTGACATTGACCTTTGGCTTACATACACACATAGGATTTCATTATGTAGCCCAGGCTAGCTTCCAATTTTCTATCCTTCTGCCTCAGCCCTCTGAGTGCTAGGATTAAGTATGTGTGCTGCCATATTCAGCTCTGAAAATGATAAGACTATTCAATGAATCTGGGGAAAATTCAAATTAGAGCTCCACCCTAAACCATATAAATCCCCAACAGATTAAAGAATGTTTTTCAAGGAGATGGTTTCTTGTCAACCCAGGCTGGCCTCCAACTGGCTATGCAGACAAGGATGACCTTGAACTCCTGATCCTTCTGCCTCTTCCTCCCAAATGCTGGGATTAAAGGCACCACACATCACCACACTTAACTAATAAAGTTTTTTTTTAAAGTATCATAAAAGGACTGGAGAGATGGCTCAGCGGTTAACAACACTGACTGTTCTTGCAGAAGACCCAGGTTCAAATCCCAGCACCCACACGGTAACTAACAACTGTCTGTAACTCCAGTTCCAGGGGCTCTACAGCCTCTTCTGTCCTTCGCAGGCATTGCATGACACAGGCGCACTTACCTACATGCAGGCATAACACTCATACATATAAAATAAAAATAAGGGTTCCAGGGTAGTGTGAGCCCGTCTTGTTTTAATTTTTTATTTAATATGTGTGTGTGTGTGTGTGTGTGTGTGTGTGTGTGTGTGTG